TCGGTGCTGCTTCAGGGACAGCTCCATCGGCTGCTACTGCCGTATCGGTGGCTGCTTGTGGCACTGCTGCTCCTCCCTCGGCGGCTGGTGATCCTTATCCTTCTGCCACTGGAGCTCCTTCTCCGCCTTCTGCTGGTGCAGCCTCGACGGTTGCCTATAGAACTGCTGGTCCTCCCTCGGCGGCTGGTGCTCCTCCTCCTTCTGTCGCAGGAGCTCCTTCTCCGCCTTCGGCTGGTGCAGCCTCTCCGCCTTCCTGTAAGCTGCCCGAAGCTTTCGTCGTAGGGGCTGCTGCTTGCGCTGCGGCCACCGCCTCAGGTGCTGCTGCCTACAGCGGTAGCTGGTACCTCCGGTGCTGCTTCAGGGACAGCTCCATCGGCTGCTACTGCCGTATCGGGGGTTGCTTATGGAACTGCTGCTCCTTCTCCCTCGGCGGCTGGTGCTCCTCCTCCGTCTGTCACAGGAACTCCATCTCCGCCTTCGGCTGGTGCAGCCTCGACCGTTGGTTGTGCCACTGCTGCTCCTGTTCCCTCGGCGGCTGGTGTTCCTTCTCCTTCTGCAGCAAGAGCCCCATTTCCGCCTTCGGCTGGTGCAGCCTCTCTGCCTTCCGGTAGGCCGTCCGCCGCTTTCATTGTAGGGGCTGCTGCTTGCGCTGCGGCAACGGCCTCAGGTGCGTCTGCCTACAGCGGAAGCTGGTACCTCCGGTGCTGCTTCAAGGACAGCTCCATCGACCGCTACTGCCGTATCGGGGGTTGCTTGTGGCACTGCTGCTCCTTCTCCCTCGGCGGCTGGTGATCCTTCTTCTGCCACAGGAGCTCCTTCTCCGTCTTCGTCTGGTGCAGCCCCTCCGCCTTCCGGTACGCCGCCCGCCGCTTCCGTCGTAGGGGCTGCTTCTATGCTGCTTCAGGGACAGCTCCATCGGCCGCTACTGCCGTATCGGTGGCTGCTTGTGGCACTGCTGCTCCTTCTCCCTCGGCGGCTGGTGATCCTTCTTCTGCCACAGGAGCTCCTTCTCCACCTTCTGCTGGTGCAGCCTCGACGGTTGCCTATAGAACTGCTGGTCCTCCCTCGGCGGCTGGTGCTCCTCCTCCTTCTGTCGCAGGAGATCCTTCTCCGCCTTCGGATGGTGCAGCCTCTCCGCCTTCCGGTAAGCTGCCCGAAGCTTCCGTCGTTGGGGCTGCTGCTTGCGCTGCGGCCACCGCTTCTGGAGCTGCTGCCTACAGCGGTAGCTGGTACCTCCGGTGCTGCTTCAGGGACAGCTCCATCGGCTGCTACTGCCGTATCGGGGGTTGCTTATGGAACTGCTGCTCCTTCTCCCTTGGCGGCTGGTGCTCCTCCTCCGTCTGTCACAGGAACTCCATCTCCGCCTTCGGCTGGTGCAGCCTCGACCGTTGGTTGTGCCACTGCTGCTCCTGTTCCCTCGGCGGCTGGTGTTCCTTCTCCTTCTGCAGCAAGAGCCCCATTTCCGCCTTCGGCTGGTGCAGCCTCTCTGCCTTCCGGTAGGCCGTCCGCCGCTTTCATTGTAGGGGCTGCTGCTTGCGCTGCGGCCACGGCCTCAGGTGCGTCTGCCTACAGCGGAAGCTGGTACCTCCGGTGCTGCTTCAAGGACAGCTCCATCGACCGCTACTGCCGTATCGGGGGTTGCTTGTGGCACTGCTGCTCCTTCTCCCTCGGCGGCTGGTGATCCTTCTTCTGCCACAGGAGCTCCTTCTCCGTCTTCGTCTGGTGCAGCCCCTCCGCCTTCCGGTACGCCGCCCGCCGCTTCCATCGTAGGGGCTGCTGCTTCCGCTGCGGCCACCGCCTCAGGTGCTGCTGCCTACAGCGGAAGCTGGTACCTTCGGTGCTGCTTCAGGGACAGCTCCATCGGCTGCTACTGCCGTATCGGGGGTTGCTTATGGAACTGCTGCTCCTTCTCCCTCGGCGGCTGGTGATCCTTCTTCTGCCACAGGAGCTCCTTCTCCACCTTGGGCTGGCGCAGCCTCGACCGTTGGTTGTGCCACTGCAGCTCCTGTTCCCTCGGCGGCTGGTGTTCCTTCTCCTTCTGCAGCAAGAGCCCCTTCTCCGCCTTCGGCTGGTGCAGCCTTCCCGCCTTCCGGTACGCCGCCCGCCGCTTCCATCGTAGGGGCTGTTGCGTCCGCTGCGGCCACCGCCTCAGGTGCTGCTGCATACAGCGGAAGCTGGTACCTCCGGTGCTGCTTCAGGGACAGCTGCATCGGCCGCTACTGCCGTATCGGCGGGTGCTTGTGGCACTGCTGCTCCTTCCTCGGCGGCTGGAGATCCTTCTTCTGCCACAGGAGCTCCTTCTCCGCCTTGGGCTGGTGAAGCCTTGCCGCTTTCCGGTACGCCGTCCGCCGCTTCCATCGTAGGGGCTGCTGCTTCCGCTGCGGCCACCGCCTCAGGTGCTGCTGCCTACAGCGGAAGCTGGTACCTCCGGTGCTGCTTCAGGGACAGCTCCATCGGCTGCTACTGCCGTATCGGGGGTTGCTTGTGGCACTGCTGCTCCTTCTCCCTCGGCGGCTGGTGACCCTTCTTCTGCGGCAGGAGCTCCTTCTATACCTTGGGCTGGCGCAGCTTCTCCGCCTTCCGCTGCGACCACCGCTTTAGGTGCTGCTGCCTACAGCGGAAGCTGGTACCTCCGGTGTTACTTCAAGGACAGCTCCATTGGCCGCTACTGCCGTATCGGCGGCTGCTTGTGGCACTGCTGCTCCTTCTCCCTCGGCGGCTGGTGATCCTTCTTCTGCGACAGGAGCTCCTTCTATACCTTGGGCTGGCGCAGCTTCTCCGCCTTCCGCTGCGGCCACCGCCTCAGGTGCTGCTGCCTACAGCGGAAGCTGGTACCTCCGGTGTTGCTTCAAGGACAGCTCCATTGGCCGCTACTGCCGTATCGGCGGCTGCTTGTGGCACTGCTGCTCCTTCTCCCTCGGCGGCTGGTGATCCTTCTTCTGGGACAGGAGCTCCTTCTCCACCTTGGGCTGGTGAAGCCTTGCCGCTTTCCGGTACGCCGTCCGCCGCTTCCATCGTAGGGGCTGTTGCTTCCGCTGCGGCCACCGCCTCAGGTGCTGCTGCCTACAGCGGAAGCTGGTACCTTCGGTGCTGCTTCAGGGACAGCTCCATCGGCTGCTACTGCCGTATCGGTGGCTGCTTGTGGCACTGCTGCTCCTCCCTCGGCGGCTGGTGATCCTTATCCTTCTGCCACTGGAGCTCCTTCTCCGCCTTTGGCTGGTGCAGCCTCGACCGTTGGTTGTGCCACTGCTGCTCCTGTTCCCTCGGCGGCTGGTGCTCCTCCTTCTGTCGCAGGAGCTCCTTCTCCGCCTTCGGCTGGTGCAGCCTCTCCGCCTTCCGGTAAGCTGCCCGAAACTTCCGTCGTTGGGGCTGCTGCTTGCCCTGCGGCCACCGCTTCTGGAGCTGCTGCCTACAGCGGTAGCTGGTACCTCCGGTGTTGCTTCAAGGACAGCTCCATTGGCCGCTACTGCCGTATCGGCGGCTGCTTGTGGCACTGCTGCTCCTTCCTCGGCGGCTGGTGATCCTTCTTCTGCCACAGGAGCTCCTTCTCCACCTTGGGCTGGTGAAGCCTCTCCGCCTTCCGGTACGCCGCCCGCCGCTTCCATCGTAGGGGCTGCTGCTTCCGCTGCGGCCACCGCCTCAGGTGCTGCTGCCTACAGCGGAAGCTGGTACCTCCGGTGCTGCTTCAGGGACAGCTCCATCGGCTGCTACTGCCGTATCGGGGTTGCTTATGGAACTGCTGCTCCTTCTCCCTCGGCGGCTGGTGCTCCTCCTCCGTCTGTCACAGGAACTCCATCTCCGCCTTCGGCTGGTGCAGCCTCGACCGTTGGTTGTGCCACTGCTGCTCCTGTTCCCTCGGCGGCTGGTGTTCCTTCTCCTTCTGCAGCAAGAGCCCCATTTCCGCCTTCGGCTGGTGCAGCCTCTCTGCCTTCCGGTAGGCCGTCCGCCGCTTTCATTGTAGGGGCTGCTGCTTCCGCTGCGGCCACCGCCTCAGGTGCTGCTGCCTACAGCGGAAGCTGGTACCTCCGGTGCTGCTTCAGGGACAGCTCCATCGGCTGCTACTGCCGTATCGGTGGCTGCTTGTGGCACTGCTGCTCCTCCCTCGGCGGCTGGTGATCCTTATCCTTCTGCCACTGGAGCTCCTTCTCCGCCTTTGGCTGGTGCAGCCTCGACCGTTGGTTGTGCCACTGCTGCTCCTGTTCCCTCGGCGGCTGGTGCTCCTCCTTCTGTCGCAGGAGCTCCTTCTCCGCCTTCGGCTGGTGCAGCCTCTCCGCCTTCCGGTAAGCTGCCCGAAACTTCCGTCGTTGGGGCTGCTGCTTGCCCTGCGGCCACCGCTTCTGGAGCTGCTGCCTACAGCGGTAGCTGGTACCTCCGGTGCTGCTTCAAGGACAGCTCCATCGACCGCTACTGCCGTATCGGGGGTTGCTTGTGGCACTGCTGCTCCTTCTCCCTCGGCGGCTGGTGATCCTTCTTCTGCCACAGGAGCTCCTTCTCCGTCTTCGTCTGGTGCAGCCCCTCCGCCTTCCGGTACGCCGCCCGCCGCTTCCATCGTAGGGGCTGCTGCTTCCGCTGCGGCCACCGCCTCAGGTGCTGCTGCCTACAGCGGAAGCTGGTACCTTCGGTGCTGCTTCAGGGACAGCTCCATCGGCTGCTACTGCCGTATCGGGGGTTGCTTATGGAACTGCTGCTCCTTCTCCCTTGGCGGCTGGTGCTCCTCCTCCGTCTGTCACAGGAACTCCATCTCCGCCATCGGCTGGTGCAGCCTCGACCGTTGGTTGTGCCACTGCTGCTCCTGTTCCCTCGGCGGCTGGTGCTCCTCCTTCTGTCGCAGGAGCTCCTTCTCCGCCTTCGGCTGGTGCAGCCTCTCCGCCTTCCGGTAAGCTGCCCGAAGCTTTCGTCGTTGGGGCTGCTGCTTGCGCTGCGGCCACCGCCTCAGGTGCTGCTGCCTACAGCGGAAGCTGGTACCTTCGGTGCTGCTTCAGGGACAGCTCCATCGGCTGCTACTGCCGTATCGGTGGCTGCCTGTGGCACTGCTGCTCCTCCCTCGGCGGCTGGTGATCCTTATCCTTCTGCCACTGGAGCTCCTTCTCCGCCTTCTGCTGGTGCAGCCTCGACGGTTGCCTATAGAACTGCTGGTCCTCCCTCGGCGGCTGGTGCTCCTCCTCCTTCTGTCGCAGGAGATCCTTCTCCGCCTTCGGATGGTGCAGCCTCTCCGCCTTCCGGTAAGCTGCCCGAAGCTTCCGTCGTTGGGGCTGCTGCTTGCGCTGCGGCCACCGCTTCTGGAGCTGCTGCCTACAGCGGTAGCTGGTACCTCCGGTGCTGCTTCAGGGACAGCTCCATCGGCTGCTACTGCCGTATCGGGGGTTGCTTATGGAACTGCTGCTCCTTCTCCCTTGGCGGCTGGTGCTCCTCCTCCGTCTGTCACAGGAACTCCATCTCCGCCATCGGCTGGTGCAGCCTCGACCGTTGGTTGTGCCACTGCTGCTCCTGTTCCCTCGGCGGCTGGTGCTCCTCCTTCTGTCGCAGGAGATCCTTCTCCGCCTTCGGATGGTGCAGCCTCTCCGCCTTCCGGTAAGCTGCCCGAAGCTTTCGTCGTTGGGGCTGCTGCTTGCGCTGCGGCCACCGCCTCAGGTGCTGCTGCCTACAGCGGAAGCTGGTACCTTCGGTGCTGCTTCAGGGACAGCTCCATCGGCTGCTACTGCCGTATCGGTGGCTGCTTGTGGCACTGCTGCTCCTCCCTCGGCGGCTGGTGATCCTTATCCTTCTGCCACTGGAGCTCCTTCTCCGCCTTCTGCTGGTGCAGCCTCGACGGTTGCCTATAGAACTGCTGGTCCTCCCTCGGCGGCTGGTGCTCCTCCTCCTTCTGTCGCAGGAGCTCCTTCTCCGCCTTCGGCTGGTGCAGCCTCTCCGCCTTCCTGTAAGCTGCCCGAAGCTTTCGTCGTAGGGGCTGCTGCTTGCGCTGCGGCCACCGCCTCAGGTGCTGCTGCCTACAGCGGTAGCTGGTACCTCCGGTGCTGCTTCAGGGACAGCTCCATCGGCTGCTACTGCCGTATCGGGGGTTGCTTATGGAACTGCTGCTCCTTCTCCCTCGGCGGCTGGTGCTCCTCCTCCGTCTGTCACAGGAACTCCATCTCCGCCTTCGGCTGGTGCAGCCTCGACCGTTGGTTGTGCCACTGCTGCTCCTGTTCCCTCGGCGGCTGGTGTTCCTTCTCCTTCTGCAGCAAGAGCCCCATTTCCGCCTTCGGCTGGTGCAGCCTCTCTGCCTTCCGGTAGGCCGTCCGCCGCTTTCATTGTAGGGGCTGCTGCTTGCGCTGCGGCAACGGCCTCAGGTGCGTCTGCCTACAGCGGAAGCTGGTACCTCCGGTGCTGCTTCAAGGACAGCTCCATCGACCGCTACTGCCGTATCGGGGGTTGCTTGTGGCACTGCTGCTCCTTCTCCCTCGGCGGCTGGTGATCCTTCTTCTGCCACAGGAGCTCCTTCTCCGTCTTCGTCTGGTGCAGCCTCTCCGCCTTCCGGTAAGCTGCCCGAAGCTTTCGTCGTTGGGGCTGCTGCTTGCGCTGCGGCCACCGCCTCAGGTGCTGCTGCCTACAGCGGTAGCTGGTACCTCCGGTGCTGCTTCAGGGACAGCTCCATCGGCTGCTACTGCCGTATCGGGGGTTGCTTATGGAACTGCTGCTCCTTCTCCCTCGGCGGCTGGTGCTCCTCCTCCGTCTGTCACAGGAACTCCATCTCCGCCTTCGGCTGGTGCAGCCTCGACCGTTGGTTGTGCCACTGCTGCTCCTGTTCCCTCGGCGGCTGGTGTTCCTTCTCCTTCTGCAGCAAGAGCCCCATTTCCGCCTTCGGCTGGTGCAGCCTCTCTGCCTTCCGGTAGGCCGTCCGCCGCTTTCATTGTAGGGGCTGCTGCTTGCGCTGCGGCAACGGCCTCAGGTGCGTCTGCCTACAGCGGAAGCTGGTACCTCCGGTGCTGCTTCAAGGACAGCTCCATCGACCGCTACTGCCGTATCGGGGGTTGCTTGTGGCACTGCTGCTCCTTCTCCCTCGGCGGCTGGTGATCCTTCTTCTGCCACAGGAGCTCCTTCTCCGTCTTCGTCTGGTGCAGCCCCTCCGCCTTCCGGTACGCCGCCCGCCGCTTCCGTCGTAGGGGCTGCTTCTATGCTGCTTCAGGGACAGCTCCATCGGCCGCTACTGCCGTATCGGTGGCTGCTTGTGGCACTGCTGCTCCTTCTCCCTCGGCGGCTGGTGATCCTTCTTCTGCCACAGGAGCTCCTTCTCCACCTTCTGCTGGTGCAGCCTCGACGGTTGCCTATAGAACTGCTGGTCCTCCCTCGGCGGCTGGTGCTCCTCCTCCTTCTGTCGCAGGAGATCCTTCTCCGCCTTCGGATGGTGCAGCCTCTCCGCCTTCCGGTAAGCTGCCCGAAGCTTCCGTCGTTGGGGCTGCTGCTTGCGCTGCGGCCACCGCTTCTGGAGCTGCTGCCTACAGCGGTAGCTGGTACCTCCGGTGCTGCTTCAGGGACAGCTCCATCGGCTGCTACTGCCGTATCGGGGGTTGCTTATGGAACTGCTGCTCCTTCTCCCTTGGCGGCTGGTGCTCCTCCTCCGTCTGTCACAGGAACTCCATCTCCGCCATCGGCTGGTGCAGCCTCGACCGTTGGTTGTGCCACTGCTGCTCCTGTTCCCTCGGCGGCTGGTGCTCCTCCTTCTGTCGCAGGAGCTCCTTCTCCGCCTTCGGCTGGTGCAGCCTCTCCGCCTTCCGGTAAGCTGCCCGAAGCTTTCGTCGTTGGGGCTGCTGCTTGCGCTGCGGCCACCGCTTCTGGAGCTGCTGCCTACAGCGGTAGCTGGTACCTCCGGTGTTGCTTCAAGGACAGCTCCATTGGCCGCTACTGCCGTATCGGCGGCTGCTTGTGGCACTGCTGCTCCTTCCTCGGCGGCTGGTGATCCTTCTTCTGCCACAGGAGCTTCTTCTCCACCTTGGGCTGGTGAAGCCTCTCCGCCTTACGGTACGCCGCCCGCCGCTTCCATCGTAGGGCTGCTGCTTCCGCTGCGGCCACCGCCTCAGGTGCTGCTGCCTACAGCGGAAGCTGGTACCTTCGGTGCTGCTTCAGGGACAGCTCCATCGGCTGCTACTGCCGTATCGGGGGTTGCTTATGGAACTGCTGCTCCTTCTCCCTCGGCGGCTGGTGCTCCTCCTCCGTCTGTCACAGGAACTCCATCTCCACCTTCGGCTGGTGCAGCCGCGACCGTTGGTTGTGCCACTGCTGCTCCTGTTCCCTTGGCGGCTGGTGCTCCTCCTCCTTCTGTCGCAGGAGCTCCTTCTCCGCCTTCGGCTGGTGCAGCCTCTCCGCCTTCCGGTAAGCTGCCCGAAGCTTTCGTCGTTGGGGCTGCTGCTTGCCCTGCGGCCACCGCTTCTGGAGCTGCTGCCTACAGCGGTAGCTGGTACCTCCGGTGTTGCTTCAAGGACAGCTCCATTGGCCGCTACTGCCGTATCGGCGGCTGCTTGTGGCACTGCTGCTCCTTCCTCGGCGGCTGGTGATCCTTCTTCTGCCACAGGAGCTCCTTCTCCACCTTGGGCTGGTGAAGCCTCTCCGCCTTACGGTACGCCGCCCGCCGCTTCCATCGTAGGGGCTGCTGCTTCCGCTGCGGCCACCGCCTCAGGTGCTGCTGCCTACAGCGGAAGCTGGTACCTCCGGTGCTGCTTCAGGGACAGCTCCATCGGCTGCTACTGCCGTATCGGGGGTTGCTTATGGAACTGCTGCTCCTTCTCCCTCGGCGGCTGGTGATCCTTCTTCTGCCACAGGAGCTCCTTCTCCGTCTTCGTCTGGTGCAGCCCCTCCGCCTTCCGGTACGGCGCCCGCCGCTTTCGTCGTAGGGGCTGCTGCTTCCGCTGCGGCCACCACCTCTGATGCTGCTGCCTAGAGCGGTAGCTGGTACCTCCGTGCTTCTTGAGGGACAGCTCCATCGGCCGTTACTGCCGTATCGGCTCGACTCCAACTCCATGTTGTTATACAGCTCGCTCTCGCCAAGCTCGCTCCAGACGGTGACCTGGAGCTTGGCATCCGGCAGATTCGTGGGCTGCGGCACGTTCTCCTTTGGCAGCTCCACCTTGGGTGGCACAGGAGCTGCAGGCAAAGGATAGAAATTAGTTTATGTGACGCTCCTTGACTTGCCTTATCTCTGTACTCACTCATTGCTGGCGTCATGCACGGTGGCCGGAGCGTGCACCCGGACAGGGTGGCGGTAATGGTGGCATCATGGCCGGCGCCATCGGTGGCGTTAGGGCACAGCTCCATTGCAGACACGTCAGACCGGCCATCTTCTGGACATCGGATATGCTGCCCTCGGTGACAAGATGCTCGAAACGGGCCAGCTCCTGCTGTACACGAAGCGATGATAAAGAGCTACTAAGTTGTAAAAAATGACAGTCACTCACAGATAATAGTGATAAAGTGGCTGCTCACTTTGGAAAAATGTACTAAATAATGACACTCACTTTTCGAACGAAATGTAGTGAACCTTAGCTGGTCACACTTACTAGTAAAGTAGTGCGAAAACGAGCTGGTCACACTACAAAAAATAGTAAGTCGATAACTTACGATGACGATAAATTTCTGATGGCGGTTGTTTGTGGCACTGCTGCTCCTCCCTCAGCGGCTGGTGATCCTTATCCTTCTGCCACTGGAGCTCCTTCTCCGCCTTCGGCTGGTGCAGCCTCTCCGCCTTCCGGTAGGCCGTCCGCCGCTTCCATCGTAGGGGCTGCTGCTTCCGCTGCGGCCACCGCCTCAGGTGCTGCTGCCTACAGCGGAAGCTGGTACCTCCGGTGCTGCTTCAGGGACAGCTCCATCGGCTGCTACTGCCGTATCGGGGGTTGCTTATGGAACTGCTGCTCCTTCTCCCTCGGCGGCTGGTGCTCCTCCTCCGTCTGTCACAGGAACTCCATCTCCGCCTTCGGCTGGTGCAGCCTCGACCGTTGGTTGTGCCACTGCTGCTCCTGTTCCCTCGGCGGCTGGTGTTCCTTCTCCTTCTGCAGCAAGAGCCCCATTTCCGCCTTCGGCTGGTGCAGCCTCTCTGCCTTCCGGTAGGCCGTCCGCCGCTTTCATTGTAGGGGCTGCTGCTTGCGCTGCGGCCACGGCCTCAGGTGCGTCTGCCTACAGCGGAAGCTGGTACCTCCGGTGCTGCTTCAAGGACAGCTCCATCGACCGCTACTGCCGTATCGGGGGTTGCTTGTGGCACTGCTGCTCCTTCTCCCTCGGCGGCTGGTGATCCTTCTTCTGCCACAGGAGCTCCTTCTCCGTCTTCGTCTGGTGCAGCCCCTCCGCCTTCCGGTACGCCGCCCGCCGCTTCCGTCGTAGGGGCTGCTTCTATGCTGCTTCAGGGACAGCTCCATCGGCCGCTACTGCCGTATCGGTGGCTGCTTGTGGCACTGCTGCTCCTTCTCCCTCGGCGGCTGGTGATCCTTCTTCTGCCACAGGAGCTCCTTCTCCACCTTGGGCTGGTGAAGCCTTGCCGCTTTCCGGTACGCCGTCCGCCGCTTGCATCGTAGGGGCTGCTGCTTCCGCTGCGGCCACCGCCTCAGGTGCTGCTGCCTACAGCGGAAGCTGGTACCTTCGGTGCTGCTTCAGGGACAGCTCCATCGGCTGCTACTGCCGTATCGGTGGCTGCTTGTGGCACTGCTGCTCCTCCCTCGGCGGCTGGTGATCCTTATCCTTCTACCACTGGAGCTCCTTCTCCACCTTCTGCTGGTGCAGCCTCGACGGTTGCCTATAGAACTGCTGGTCCTCCCTCGGCGGCTGGTGCTCCTCCTCCTTCTGTCGCAGGAGATCCTTCTCCGCCTTCGGATGGTGCAGCCTCTCCGCCTTCCGGTAAGCTGCCCGAAGCTTTCGTCGTTGGGGCTGCTGCTTGCGCTGCGGCCACCGCTTCTGGAGCTGCTGCCTACAGCGGTAGCTGGTACCTCCGGTGCTGCTTCAGGGACAGCTCCATCGGCTGCTACTGCCGTATCGGGGGTTGCTTATGGAACTGCTGCTCCTTCTCCCTCGGCGGCTGGTGCTCCTCCTCCGTCTGTCACAGGAACTCCATCTCCGCCTTCTGCTGGTGCAGCCTCGACCGTTAGTTGTGCCACTGCTGCTCCTGTTCCCTCGGAGGCTGGTGCTCCTCCTCCTTCTGTCGCAGGATCTCCTTCTCCGCCTTCGGCTGGTGCAGCCTCTCCGCCTTCCTGTAAGCTGCCCGAAGCTTTCGTCGTAGGGCTGCTGCTTGCGCTGCGGCCACCGCTTCTGGAGCTGCTGCCTACAGCGGTAGCTGGTACCTCCGGTGCTGCTTCAGGGACAGCTCCATCGGCTGCTACTGCCGTATCGGGGGTTGCTTATGGAACTGCTGCTCCTTCTCCCTCGGCGGCTGGTGCTCCTCCTCCGTCTGTCACAGGAACTCCATCTCCACCTTCGGCTGGTGCAGCCGCGACCGTTGGTTGTGCCACTGCTGCTCCTGTTCCCTTGGCGGCTGGTGCTCCTCCTCCTTCTGTCGCAGGAGCTCCTTCTCCGCCTTCGGCTGGTGCAGCCTCTCCGCCTTCCGGTAAGCTGCCCGAAGCTTTCGTCGTTGGGGCTGCTGCTTGCCCTGCGGCCACCGCTTCTGGAGCTGCTGCCTACAGCGGTAGCTGGTACCTCCGGTGTTGCTTCAAGGACAGCTCCATTGGCCGCTACTGCCGTATCGGCGGCTGCTTGTGGCACTGCTGCTCCTTCCTCGGCGGCAGGTGATCCTTCTTCTGCCACAGGAGCTCCTTCTCCACCTTGGGCTGGTGAAGCCTCTCCGCCTTACGGTACGCCGCCCGCCGCTTCCATCGTAGGGGCTGCTGCTTCCGCTGCGGCCACCGCCTCAGGTGCTGCTGCCTACAGCGGAAGCTGGTACCTCCGGTGCTGCTTCAGGGACAGCTCCATCGGCTGCTACTGCCGTATCGGCAGCTGCTTGTGGCACTGCTGCTCCTTCTCCCTCGGCGGCTGGTGATGCTTATCCTTCTGCCACTGGAGCTCCTTCTCCGCATTCTGCTGGTGCAGCCTCTCCGCCTTCCGGTAAGCTGCCCGAAGCTCGTCGTTGGGGCAGCTGCTTGCGCTGCGGCCACCGCTTCTGGAGCTGCTGCCTACAGCGGTAGCTGGTACCTCCGGTGCTGCTTCAGGGACAGCTCCATCGGCTGCTACTGCCGTATCGGGGGTTGCTTATGGAACTGCTGCTCCTTCTCCCTCGGCGGCTGGTGCTCCTCCTCCGTCTGTCACAGGAACTCCATCTCCACCTTCTGCTGGTGCAGCCGCGACCGTTGGTTGTGCCACTGCTGCTCCTGTTCCCTTGGCGGCTGGTGCTCCTCCTCCTTCTGTCGCAGGAGCTCCTTCTCCGCCTTCGGCTGGTGCAGCCTCTCCGCCTTCCGGTAAGCTGCCCGAAGCTTTCGTCGTTGGGGCTGCTGCTTGCCCTGCGGCCACCGCTTCTGGAGCTGCTGCCTACAGCGGTAGCTGGTACCTCCGGTGTTGCTTCAAGGACAGCTCCATTGGCCGCTACTGCCGTATCGGCGGCTGCTTGTGGCACTGCTGCTCCTTCCTCGGCGGCTGGTGATCCTTCTTCTGCCACAGGAGCTCCTTCTCCACCTTGGGCTGGTGAAGCCTCTCCGCCTTACGGTACGCCGCCCGCCGCTTCCATCGTAGGGGCTGCTGCTTCCGCTGCGGCCACCGCCTCAGGTGCTGCTGCCTACAGCGGAAGCTGGTACCTCCGGTGCTGCTTCAGGGACAGCTCCATCGGCTGCTACTGCCGTATCGGGGGTTGCTTATGGAACTGCTGCTCCTTTTCCCTCGGCGGCTGGTGCTCCTCCTCCGTCTGTCACAGGAACTCCATCTCCACCTTCGGCTGGTGCAGCCGCGACCGTTGGTTGTGCCACTGCTGCTCCTGTTCCCTCGGCGGCTGGTGCTCCTCCTCCTTCTGTCGCAGGAGCTCCTTCTCCGCCTTCGGCTGGTGCAGCCTCTCCGCCTTCCGGTAAGCTGCCCGAAGCTTTCGTCGTTGGGGCTGCTGCTTGCCCTGCGGCCACCGCTTCTGGAGCTGCTGCCTACAGCGGTAGCTGGTACCTCCGGTGTTGCTTCAAGGACAGCTCCATTGGCCGCTACTGCCGTATCGGCGGCTGCTTGTGGCACTGCTGCTCCTTCCTCGGCGGCTGGTGATCCTTCTTCTGCCACAGGAGCTCCTTCTCCACCTTGGGCTGGTGAAGCCTCTCCGCCTTACGGTACGCCGCCCGCCGCTTCCATCGTAGGGCTGCTGCTTCCGCTGCGGCCACCGCCTCAGGTGCTGCTGCCTACAGCGGAAGCTGGTACCTCCGGTGCTGCTTCAGGGACAGCTCCATCGGCTGCTACTGCCGTATCGGCTCGACTCCAACTCCATGTTGTTATACAGCTCGCTCTCGCCAAGCTCGCTCCAGACGGTGACCTGGAGCTTGGCATCCGGCAGATTCGTGGGCTGCGGCACGTTCTCCTTTGGCAGCTCCACCTTGGGTGGCACAGGAGCTGCAGGCAAAGGATAGAAATTAGTTTATGTGACGCTCCTTGACTTGCCTTATCTCTGTACTCACTCATTGCTGGCGTCATGCACGGTGGCCGGAGCGTGCACCCGGACAGGGTGGCGGTAATGGTGGCATCATGGCCGGCGCCATCGGTGGCGTTAGGGCACAGCTCCATTGCAGACACATCGGATATGCTGCCCTCGGTGACAAGATGCTCGAAACGGGCCAGCTCCTGCTGTACACGAAGCGATGATAAAGAACTACTAATAAGTTGTAAAAAATGACAGTCACTCACAGATAATAGTGATAAAGTGGCTGCTCACTTTGGAAAAATGTACTAAATAATGACACTCACTTTTCGAACGAAATGTAGTGAACCTTAGCTGGTCACACTTACTAGTAAAGTAGTGCGAAAACGAGCTGGTCACACTACAAAAAATAGTAAGTCGATAACTTACGATGACGATAAATTTCTGATGGCGGTTGTTTGTGGCACTGCTGCTCCTCCCTCAGCGGCTGGTGATCCTTATCCTTCTGCCACTGGAGCTCCTTCTCCGCCTTCTGCTGGTGCAGCCTCTCCGCCTTCCGGTAAGCTGCCCGAAGCTCGTCGTTGGGGCTGCTGCTTCCGCTGCGGCCACCGCTTCTGGAGCTGCTGCCTACAGCGGTAGCTGGTACCTCCGGTGTTGCTTCAAGGACAGCTCCATTGGCCGCTACTGCCGTATCGGCGGCTGCTTGTGGCACTGCTGCTCCTTCCTCGGCGGCTGGTGATCCTTCTTCTGCCACAGGAGCTCCTTCTCCGCATTCTGCTGGTGCAGCCTCTCCGCCTTCCGGTACGCCGCCCGCCGCTTCCATCGTAGGGGCTGCTGCTTCCGCTGCGGCCACCGCCTCAGGTGCTGCTGCCTACAGCGGAAGCTGGTACCTCCGGTGCTGCTTCAGGGACAGCTCCATCGGCTGCTACTGCCGTATCGGGGGTTGCTTATGTAACTGCTGCTCCTTCTCCCTCGGCGGCTGGTGCTCCTCCTCCGTCTGTCACAGGAACTCCATCTCCGCCTTCGGCTGGTGCAGCCTCGACCGTTGGTTGTGCCACTGCTGCTCCTATTCCCTCGGCGGCTGGTGTTCCTTCTCCTTCTGCAGCAAGAGCGCCTTCTCCGCCTTCGGCTGGTGCAGCCTTCCCGCCTTCCGGTACGCCGCCCGCCGCTTCCATCGTAGGGGCTGTTGCGTCCGCTGCGGCCACCGCCTCAGGTGCTGCTGCATACAGCGGAAG